AAAAAATAAGAAAATATAAAAAACCAAAAAATATTTACTTTTTATTCAATCCCCCCCCTTTGTGTTGTGTTTCAGTTATATTATAAGTTCTTTGTTTATATAAGTTATAGTTATAAGTTTTGTTATAAGTGTTATACGTCTTATCATATGTGTAGTAGTTTTTTTATTTTATTTAGTGACAACGTGTTTGCATACTATATTGGTTTTAAAAAGTACAAACTTTCTCTGTGGGATCGACCCTTACTTGCCCTAGCTATAGTTTTTATTTGATTATATTGGGGGTTAGCTAAGGATATTTTATAAATTTTTAATTTGTTTTGGACCGCACGACGGGTCTTCAACAAATTTTGGCGCCGTTGCTGGGGAAAGTTTTGTATGAAATCACTTTAGTATGCCATTGTAATTTTTTTGTTAGTAAGAATGTCGTAGTACCTCTTTTCTTGAGTTTTAAATTTTTTTTCATGCCTATTCGTAGAATTGAGCTTAAGCGTGTTAGAAGTACCATAATCAGCTTGTTCAAATTATCTTTGTGCTCCATTGTCAGTTTTTGTGAGATTTTTGGCCAATTTTTTATAAAAACTGCATTTTGAGACTTTCTTTGGCATATCTACTTGCTGGTTTTGTTTCTGTCAACCATATACGCTTACTTTGAATGAACATGGTGCTATTTTTCAGAAATTGTGGTTTGTCAATACTGTTTTTTTGACAAATTGCACTCTTTTGCTCGTCTAGATGTTGTATTGTGTTCCTGGAAATGCTAATATACCTGCAATTTGAACTCTTGTTGAAATAATCTGCATTTTGAACTTTATTTGGTCTTTTAGTTGCTGATTTTTGTTGGTGCAGGTTATGAATGTTGAGTTTGAATGAATTAGTGTTGTTTTCTCAAAGAAAAAATGATTTTACTTGCTGCTTTTTTATAAATCTGCACTTTTTTACTTAGCATATATGCTGATTTTGTCCATTGGAGTGCTCCTTTGCTTCAAATATGAACTATAATTGATATATCTTCCTTGGGGATAATATTTTGAAGCATGCCATGATATTTTAATGCTGATTTTAGGGGCTGAATTTTTGATAAAAATTGATCTAAAGTGCTGTTTTTTTTATAAAAAAAATCTGCATTCTTTTCCTATGTGCAAGCTGATTTTTGTGTTCCAAGATGCATATATGCTAAATTTTGAAGTTCCATTCTTAAAAACATGCTTGGGAACTTATGTGGGAGCATTTAGCACGAGTTTTTCTTGATCCTTATATATACTCCTTGCTCTCAAAGTGAAAAAAAAGGTTCAAAATTTGATTTAAGAATCTGATCTCAAGCTTTAAGTTGCACCTTTGAACATGATCTTTTTTTCTTCTCAATTGACTACAATGTACTACTTCTTGAGTAAAAAGTGAAATCAAATTTGAATTTTGAAGCTATCTTGTTTTTACTCTTTTTTTTTAGTGTTTTAAAGAAACACATTTATTTTACTACTTGATGGTTTATTTGAATATGTTTTTGGCAAGTAGTAAGCTTTGTCTTTTTTTTTTTTAAAGTGTAAATTTGAATTGAAACAACACTTTTACAAAGAAATTGGAGAAGAATTTTTTTTGACAAATATAGAGTTACCAATTGATGAAGAAGAAGATGAAATTGAAGAAATTGGAGCTTGAAGAAGACTGCCCACCCTCGACCACAGCCGTCGCTGGAGCTACTGCCGCCGCTGCCATCGTCGAACGCCGGCCACCATAGCAGCGGCCAAGCCGCTGCTTTATTCCCGTCGATGTTCCCCCCCGTGTTGATAGTTGGCGATTAATTGTTGCGAATTTTACGGAGGAACGTTGGAGCGTTGAAGAAATTGGTTCGATTCTCTCTGCGGTGAAGCGGTGAAGAAGAAGTCGCGTACTTCTCTTCTTTTCTCTTTCTTGTGCGAATCAGGAAAGTAAGGGATGCAATGGGCTGCTTAACTTGTTTATTTGATGATGGGTTTGGGCTCTAGCCCAAATTCAATATCTTCTTTCCAAACTTGAACTGCACTTTGGTCTTTTGTTACATTTTTCTCCAAAAAATAAGATATCATAATTTGGGTTAGGAAAAATAAAATAAAAATAAAAGAATGTAAAAAATGATTAAAGAAACTACTATTTATGAAAGAAAAATAAAAGATTGTAAAAATGAGAATTAAAATAAAACTAAACTAAAGAACTAAAAATTAAACACTAAAAATATTAAAAATTCCTAAAAAAGAATAAAAAGAACTAACCCAAAAACGACTTATCAGTTGGTGATGGTGGTCCAGAGCTCTCTTCTTTCTTCTTTGGTGTGGAGGCCATAAACAACTGAGAGGATGCAGGGGGAGTTGAGGGGAGAGGATGAGAAGTGGAGGATTCCAATTTGGGGGGAAGATGTAATAGGGACAATGGGGGCTAGGGTGAAGAAGTCTGATTTCTAGAAAGTCCATACTTTGTTGTTGCATAAGGACTTAGAGGAATCAAACCCCAGTTTAATATGGTAAGTAGCAATATTGTTGAGGCTGCTTTTAGGTTCAATAATGGCTAGAAAGTTTATGTTTAAGTGTTTGAGGAGAAAAGATAACCTTGGGAGGTTTTTAGCTATACCTCTGATATTCCAAAAAAGCAAATTCATTGTGACAGTAAGCTGAAAGAATTGTGTGTAGAGGATTTCTCTTGTAATCTTGTTGACCTTCTAACTCTTGGGTTTTCTCTTTTGTTATGTGCAGGGGTGAATGAAGTCTCTTCATCAGAGTAGTAGGACAGTTCCTGCCTTGGGTTCTTTTTTATGAGAAGGTCATCCAAAGCTAAGGGGGCTTCACTGGATTTCATTTCCTTGAGTATAGGTTCATCTCTTCCTTCAACCAGGAGGCAAAAGAGGTTTGAGAAGGTCTCTTGATGAAATCTGATTTAAAAAGCTGCTCAAGTTCAGTGTTGAGTGGTGAATGTTCTGAAGAAGGCTTAGGAGGAGAGGGGGATAAAGTGAGGGGTTCCAGGGTGGTTGTGAAAGAAGGGTTGCTAGTGGGTACAGGAGTGATGGTAGAAGGGTTAGAAGTGGTTGGAGGATTAGATGGCATGACACAAGGTATAACGGGGGGGTGGGGATTTTTCTTGTATAGATTGAGAATGATTTTGGGCTTGTGAGGTCTGTGTGGCAGTGGGCTTTGAAGTGAGAAGGGTAAGGGGTTTATTGGGCTCGGTGGAATTATTTCCAGGGGGGATGGAATCTAGTTCTGAGGGGTGGGAAGAAAGGGGGCCAGGGGGAGTTTAGGCTTTATATGTTTGCCCTGGTTTAGTAGTAGGGTCAGAGGTTTGCAGGGTATTTGGTTTTTTGTTGTTTGGAATGTTGGGTTCCCCCATAGTAGGCTTTGTGTAAAATTTACAGGAATCCCCCTGCAATGTTTACAGTAATTGGGCAGGTTTTCAAAGACGTCTTGAAGAAGGATAGGTTGGTCACCATTTTTGATATAGAAGTTGTTTTGAAAGCTTTGGGACAGGTCCATTTCAACACAAAATCTAGCGACAGAGTGTCTACTAAAGCTTTCAGTAGTGGCATCCACTTTAAGTGGTTTCCCAAAGATTTGAGCAATAGAGAGGAGGGCCCTTTTGTCATGGAAGTGGATAGGGAGGTTTGCCACTGAAATCCAAATAGGAACTATAGTAATTACCTTGTCTGGGAAGAAGTCTGGAGTCCACTTTGTGATATGCATTGAGGAGCCTTGCACGTTCCAGTCTTTCCTAAGGAAGAGGCGTTGGAAGTCTTTTTCTGAGTTAAAGTTGAAGAGGACATAATGGTGGTGAAGAAGAGTGACTGAGAAGCCAACAAAGCCTATCTTCTCCAGCCAAGTCCTGATAACTGCAAGTGGTGGTCTTTTGCCAAAGAAGCTCCCTACCAAGGCATACTGAAATCTGGTGGCAAGACTTTGGACCTCTTCAGGAGAGAATGTGATACAAGGGAGACATTTGAATTTCTCAATGGGTTTGATGGGAATAGCAGCTGGAGGGCATGATACAGCATCTCTGAAGCTTTTGGCTACTGGTGAAGACGGAGGAGGGCTGGAGGAAGAGGAGGAGAGCTTGGCGACGGTAGGAACAACAGGGTCAGCTGCCCTCGCCGGAGGGCCGGTGGACATGGACACGCCGGAGTTTTATATATATATATATATATATATATATATATATATATATATATATATATATATATATATATATATATATATATATATATATATATATATATATATATATATATATATATATATATATATAAATTTTATTAAGAGAGTTGAAAACACACATACGGAGAGGACGACACTGAAGCCCCGAAGGAAGGAATGAAAACAAAACACAAAACAACCCCATACAACATCAATGCCCAACCTCCACGTTCTTGCCCGAATTAAACCTCCCCACTTCCAACAATCACTTCAGTTGATGGCTTCCAGCCCATTAGTTTTCATCATTCACGACCTACCTTTAAGATTTTGAGCCCAACCAAAACTAAACAGGAAAACTAGAATTTCTTCCGGTCCCCCAATAGGTATTGAGCCCCCAGCCAAGTCCTGATAACTGCAAGTGGTGGTCTTTTGCCAAAGAAACTCCCTACCAAGGCATACTGAAATCTGGTGGCAAGACTTTGGACCTCTTCAGGAGAGAATGTGATACAAGGGAGAACTTTGAATTTCTCAATGGGTTTGATGGGAATAGCAGCTGGAGGGCACGATACAACATCTCTAAAGCTTTTGGCTACTGGTGAAGACGGAGGAGGGCTGGGGGAAGAGGAGGAGAGCTTGGCGACGGCAGGAACAACAGGGTCAGCTGCCCTCGCCGGAGGGCCGGTGGACATGGACACGCCGGAGTTTTAGAGAGAGTATATATATATATATATGTATGTATGTATGTATGTATGTATGTATGTATGTATGTATGTATGTATGTATGTATGTATGTATGTATGTATGTATGTATGTATGTATGTATGTATGTGTGTGTGTGTGTGTGTGTATTTTTAAATTAAAATTTTATTAATGAAATCGAAAGGAGGATACAATCTCGTTAAAGAGAGCGGCTTTTACAGAAGAAGAACAATCACTAATATTACAATATTCAAGAAAATTGCATCCTTTGGTTGTGTCTTCTTTAGCTAATAAGTCAGCAGGCTGATTTCCTTCTCGAAGGGTATGAGACGTCCAAATGTCGTTATCTGTGATCATGGTACCCAAGATATCAATTGGAAAAGGAGAGTGTGAGTGATGCACATATTTTGCAAGTCTCACAGTGATTTCCTTAGCATCCGTCTCGAACACAAGGAGTTTATTAAACTTGAGCGCCCATGTTATTCCTTTGATGGCAGCATCCACTTCAGCTTGGTAGGGTGATTCACCTGTAACTTGGAAAGAGGCAGCACCAACGAATCTTCCCTGGTAATCTCTAAGAATAGCTGCTCCCTGCTTAGGATTATGGGTGAAAGACGCATCCACATTAAGTTTGAGCCTGCCCTTAGGAGGTGCTAGCCACTTGACCAATCGAATGGAAGGATTGGATTGGAATTTAGGCAGTAAGTTTGTGCCTATAAGCCAAGCATCAAAGACTCTAAGTTGTTTAGGCAGTTTCATTTGGAGCCAGTTCCTTGTATACCTAGAAATGGAATCAATAAGCTTTGAGGGATTGAAACTGTTCATGTCCTCATAGAGGAGTGAGTTAAGAGCTTTCCAAATGTGCCAAGAAATGATTCCAGGCAAGTGCTTTCTTAGGAAACCATAAATGTTATTGTTTCCTCTAAGCCACCAGTTCATGAAGTGTTGGTTAATACTTGAGGAGTCCTGGTGTAAGATTCCGACACAGGCTGAGAAATGATGCCAAACCCCTTTGATCATATGGCAGTCTATAAGGGAATGTTTGGCAGTGTAAGATTTCCTTTGACAGAAAGGACACATTGAAGGCATGAGGAAACCAAGTTTCTGTAGATTCTCAGGACTAGGAATACAGTGCTGGAAAAGTATCCAAGTGAAGATGCTGATTTTTGGGTTTTGGGGGGATTCCCAAAGGTAATTAAAAGAGGCCCTGGGGGTTGAACCTGCTCTACAGAATTCATATGCTGATTTGAAGGTGAAAGAGCCACTAGGATCAAGCTTCCAGTGCATCATGCCATCATCAGAGACAGAACAAGTGTCAATGGCAGATTCATCAATATTGAAGATTCTCTTCCAGACTGGGGAATCAATAATGTTGGCCTTCATCTCACCATCCCTCCAATATTTAGCTCTCATTAGCTTTGCCCATAATCCATTATCATGATGGTATTTCCACCAAAGTTTAAAACTAAAAGCTTTTTCTAAGCTATTGGAGTCTCTTGTACCCAGGCCACCTTCGTCTTTCGGGGTACAAAGCTTCTTCCAACTTCTCCAATGATGCTTTCCTCCCCACCAAAATTTGGCCATTTTGTGATCCAACAAAAGCTTGATGGATTTAGGGAGTGTGTTTGTTGCTAGGAAATAGTTGGGAAGAGTGTTAAGGACATGATTAATAAGTACTAGACGACCTGCTTGATCCAAGTTTTTTTGGTACCATCCATTTAATTTCGAATCGAAAGAAGGAATAAGGTTGGTGCAGTGAATATGTCTAGTGATTCCCAAGTTAATAGGAATACCTAGATAAGTAAAAGGATAGATCTTATGGGACATTCCCAGCAGTCTTTCCAGCTTGGATATGGCTAAAGAGTTAGGCTTGGAACCCATCATGAAGCTGCTCTTAGTGTAATTAATGGTCTGCCCGGAGACCAGTTGGTAATCGTGGAGGAATCTTTTTAGGTTGGAAACAGATCGACTATGTCCCGAAGAGAAGATAATGATATCATCAGCATAGGAAAGGTGGGTAATAGGGATGGACTTTCTCCCTAAATTGTACCTGTCAATGAAGCCATCAAGAAACAATTTGTTAAGGTTTCTAGAGAAACCCTCATTAGCAATAATAAAGAGGAGAGGAGAGAGAGGATCTCCTTGTTTGATTCCTCTTGATTGACCAAAATATCCACATGGTTTGCCATTGACCAAAATGGAATATTTGGAGGAGGTAAGGAGGTTGTTAACCATGCGGATGAACTGAGGAGAGAAGCCAAAAGCCTTGAGGATGTCCATCAGGTATGACCATTTAAGCTTATCAAAAGCTTTGGCCATGTCAAGTGTGACGATAAGGTTTCCACCATGAGCTTTCCTATTGATGTGATGTACCAACTCCTTAGTGATAAGAATTTGGTCCATAATCTCCCTTCCTGGAACATAAGCCCCTTGTTCTTCAGAAATAATTAGATGAAGGAGCTTTCCAAGCCTATTAGCAATGCATTTAGATGCAATCGTTGAGGCCACAGTAGATAGGCAAACTAGTCTAAAATCGTTGAGTCTCATTGCATTATCAGTTTTAGGAAGCAGGCAAATATTGGATGAACTTGCTGCCTTGGGAAGAGGAATTCCAAGGAAGACCTCTTGGCAAGCAGAAGTTAAATCGTCTTTGATAATATCCCAGCATTGCTTGAAAAAGTTGATGTTGAAACCATCTGGACCAGGAGAGGAATTAGGATCCATGTCCCAGACAGTAACTTTGATTTCTTCTTCAGTGGGCAGAGATATAAGACATTCATTCTGAGTGTGATTTATAAGATGAGGGATGGTGCTAAGAAACTGTGAATAAACTTCACTAGAGCTGCAAGGTTCTGAGGAATTTAAGAGAGTAGTGAAATGGGTAACTGCTAGGGCTTCCAGGTCATCTGGCTTATCTATTAATTGTCCTTGATCATTGAAGAGACTTGTAATCTGCTGTTTTCTCCGCCTTTCTTTCACCAGGCTGTGAAAGAATTTTGTGTTGGCATCTCCATCTTTCAACCATTTAAGGTTACATTTTTGCTTCCAAAAGGCATATTCTCTCCTATGAGCTTCCTGAAGTTCTGCCAATTTCTGATTATAAAGGATTTTGTTATCAGTTGAAGGGTCAGCCTCAAACAGCTGCTCCGCTTTAGTGGCATCAGATTCCGCCTCCTTAATCATGTCAAAAATGTTGCCAAAATGAGTTTTATTCCAGGAAGAAAGTTTCTCTTTGAGATGATGAAGTCTTTTGAAGAGACTATGCATTTCCCCATGAAAAGGAATTTCCTCCCAACTATCCTTGCAGATCTGCCTAAAATCATCTCTTAATAACCACATATTTTGGAATCTGAAGGATTTGGTGGTGTTTCTAGCATCAGGTTTGGAGAGAAATAAAATAGGGCAGTGATCACTTCCACCCTTAGCAAGATGCTGCATCGAGATTATGTTCCAATGATCAGCCCAGAAGGTATTGTAGAAAACTCTATCAAGACGCCGCCATACATTACCATTGCTTCTGACCCCATGCCAAGTATAAGCCGATCCAGTGTAATTACATTCAAGGAGCTTGTTGTCCCTGATGCAGTCACTAAAATCAGTAATAGCCTCCAGCTCAGGCAACCTTGAACCCTTGTGATGAAGAAAGTCTGAAATGGTGTTGAAATCCCCCCCAAGGCACCAAGGGTGATTGACATTGGCATGGAATGATTCAATGTTACTCCAAAGAAGTTTCCTATCCTTAGTGGTGTGATCCCCGTAAATACCACTAATGGTGAAAGTAAAACTCTTGTGGATATCCCTCAGGGAGAAGTGAGAAATCTGCCCAGCGTCAATGACATCAATCAAAGAAAACCTACTAGTGTCCCAAAGGAACCAAATTTTGTTATTAGCAACACTAAGGAACCCATTAAAACCCAGCTTAAAAGCTAGGGTTTTACCTTTATTAGCCATAACCAGAGGTTCAATGAGAACAAAAAAATCAATAGAATGGTGCTTCTTCAAGTGGGAAAGCCTCTCGCACCTCTTGGAGACTCCCCGTACATTCCAAAAGAGAGAATTAATCATTTAAGGGCCTGGAAAACCCCTTCCCCAGACTTTTTAAAGTCTGAACGTGTCCTGATTCTTGATAAAAGCTGAGAAAAGGCTCCCACTGGCGAAGAGGGTGCTGAAGAGGAGGTTCTCTTCACCGGAATATCAATCTGAAGTCCAAGGGAGATATCTGAGGAGGCATGTTGTAAAATTGGCTCCACACGTTGTTCAGTTGCATGCATGTGGTTTTCAATGATAGTAATCCCACCATGAATAGGAATGGGTTCTGAGCTGGAGTAAGCAAGACCATTATTATCCAAATAAATTACCTCCTGTGACTCAATAAATTGAACCTGGGACCTACGCCGGGCTCCAGTTTTGGATGATTCCTCTTGGCAAAAGGCTGCTTGAGTTTCTGCTTTGGCCGTATCTTCTTGGCTCAAAACTGGTTGGTCCTTACCTGGTAGGGGATCCTGAGTGAAAGTGGGTTTAGGGACCCATTCACCGTTGGATTTATGCTGTCGTGTAACGCTCCGAAATCTGGCCCAAAAGAATTAATTAAATTGTTAGAGCAATTGATTAGGAATTGGGCCCAAAAAGGGGTTGAAGAAATCCTTTTGGTGGCCAGCTATGAAAAAGGAAATCTCCGAGTTCACTGCGCGCTGTTTGACTTGTCAGCAAGTCAAGGCTGAGCACCAGGTTCCGACAGGGTTGCTCCGGAATGGAAGTGGGAAAGGATCACTATGGACTTTGTGATCGGATTGCCACGATCTTCACGAAAGAATGACGCCATCTGGGTCATTGTTGACAGGTTGACAAAGTCCGCTCATTTTCTACCCGTCAGACGTGACTCCTCCATGGACAAATTGGCAGACTTATACGTTAGAGAGATAGTTCGGTTGCACGGTGCACCGCTGTCAATCATATCTGATAGAGATCCCCGGTTCACTTCGATGTTCTGGAGAGGACTTTAGAAGGCTTTTGACA